AATTCTCATTATCAAAAAAGCAACGTAAAACTTGTGGACGCTTCATTCTGTTTTTTCTGCTAGAAAAAGCTGGAAGTTTGATGGTCTAATGAACAGAATGTTACTGCGACTTTTCAATTGCAAGGTTACGGTCGAATGCGGGTATTTTGAGGTCAGTGTTTACTGATTGCACTGAGATGAGTAGTTTCCCATCACTGGAATATCGGTCACTAAAAAGAAAAGAACACTGTCCCCCAGATGTTTATTGTCAAAGGAGTGAACAGAAAGAAGATTTGATGTGTGAGGATTTCGTCAAAGACGGTTTTAAATACACTAAACCAGTACGTGATGAATATGAATCATGTAAGGAGGAAAGTCGGTTTTTAAATTCAGACGCTGTTTGGAGCTTTTATTATAATGTTATGTTAAAGAAGTATGAGTGCTCTAACTTTCAAGATTTTAAGAAACGTCAAACCACTAATATCCGTGATACTGTTATTCCGGCTATTGATATGTACAAAGAACAGGTTTGCGACTGGTTTAAAGAGCTTTCCAGCAACGTTCCACTGCAAAACCTTGGACGTCGTGTGCCTTTTTTCAAAGATAAAGAAGAACTTTTACATGAGTTGCTTTCAAACAAAGTTCCTATTACTCGAGCATTATGGTTTATTAATATAAGCGTCATCCAGTCAACAGCAGTTGCTGAAACTGCAAAGAAAAAGCCAAGAGCACCTCAGGATCCTACTGCCGACTGGTCGTCTACGCTCTGTCGCCTGCTTTCGCGTTCATTGGAGCCAATTTATGCACCCGTTAAGCATAATGAACTCATATCACTCTTTAATGATTGGGATTATCTCTTTTCGCTGCTTTTAGCTATGTATGATTCGGACATGGCAGACCACTGGGAAGTCATACTTTGGCTAATTAAAGCTGCAGAAAGTGCTAATGAACAAATTCGTGGACAATCGTCACCCTCAACAGTTGCTTTATCACCTTCAGATCGTTCAGCACTTACTAGCAAATGTGCTTCTGATTTCCCCCTGAAGTTTATTTTGCATTACCTCATTAAGTTTGGACGTCGGTTTACTGAGAGTGAATTGCTAATACGGAGACTACTTTACTGGTGTTGCACTACGTTTGCAGATGTTGTATTTGCTTGTACTGGATCTAAATATGCTCCTTCTGTTGGTACATTACAAAGTATTTTAAATCAGTATAAGGATTTATACACGTGCCCTCTACATCAAAATATTTCCACGTCACTGAGTAGTTTAATTATCTTCATTGTATTAAGCTGTCCGTCAGCTGCAGTGTGGAATCCAATACCTTTTGATACTGATTACGCTTATTTTAAAGGATCACCTCTTGATCATATTCCACACTCATTAGTTGCACTTCCTCTACCACTTGGAGAGGAATCAACACCGATACGCAAGTGTTTGTCCGAAGTTGAGGAGGACATAATAAGACGTAGTCAGCTCGTTGAATCTGGTTGGCTGATTGAACCATGCTCAGGAAATAACGGCGAAAACGTAAGTCCTTCTAGTTTTATCTTGATAGAATAGATCTAAAATTCGTGTTATTATTTGGTGTTACTACATTGAATTTATTCCGTAATATAAAGTAAACTTTATTCATGAATTATAATCATGTTTACGATTTCGTGTTTTATCGTTATTTCTAGGTTCCTCAATACAATTATAATTCATGAACAACCAGTTCATATGGCATCACGCCTAAGGCATATGTGTGTGACTTATGAGAAGCACAACTATCCTCCCCACTTTAACGAGGTTCTGGGTTTTATTAGTGATGGTATAAGATTTAGAGCGCTGTGGCATTCCCATTTAAAAAAGGGACTTAGAGCCAGGCACATGTATACATTAGCTCGTTTCCGCACACTCAATTGCCCTGGTACGGCAGAGGGTGAAGAAAAGTCCGCTTTCTCTGTCGAAATGCTCTCACATAGCCATGCGTATATAGCCTCTGCCAAGGAAGTCCTACTCACTGCCTTCCCTTCAAGGGGGTGTTGTTTACGAAATTGAGAGGACAAAAAGCGAATGTCCGGAGCTTTAACCAGGTCAGTAGATATAGAGGATCCACCTACGGGAGTTGGAAAACCCTGGTTTCAAACCAATGGTGAAAATGGGTTCCAGTATCCTGAGTGAACAAATGGCGTATGGACCAATTGTTGATCACCGGCTCCTATGAGACAACATCTCCTTACGATGCTTCACTGCCTTGTGGATTAGACCTTTAGGTCAGAGACTCAGGGTGTGGCCCCCTTAGAAAACCACCTGCTTCGGTTTGGCACCCGGGCAGTATCATAGCCCACACACAAATGCAGTGACTTGTGTGGCGCATATGTATTTGGTGCCCCTTTGTAGCAATATTTGTGTTCAAATAAAATAAATAAACAAATGCGATAAAATATAAAATGAAAACAAGAGAAATAGGGTTCAAATAGATAAATAACTATTTGATATCTAATACATACAACTGGCTAATTTAGATGCATTTACACAATTTTCGTCACTGTCAGAGTAACATTGATTCGAATCAATATCCGCTTGGATAATTGGAGTTATTTTGGCTCTGTAACTTAGTTTTAGACTGTTTTTCTATGCTGAAGTGTTTTCAAAGCTTGTAAACTATGTTAATTGCATCTTTTCATTTAACGAAAACAACATTCCACAATTAGTTTCGTTTTGATCTACGTATTTTAGACTGAAAGTTTATGTTCCTTTATTTTGAACTCTTCCTAATTACATACAACTAAATAAATGTTGAAGCAAGCTGTTATTGTTTTCACCGCAATAAACGCTCATTGTGACGTTTCTTTCACTAAGGCATGCAGTTTTATTTGATTTTTAATAATGGATGTGATTCTAAAGGGTTATTTATATTTTGTTAATTCAGAAATGCTCTGTACAAAATGCAGTCACAATACTGGAAAAAAGAGGAAAGCCGAAAATAATATTTATTGGAAGGTACGCTCTAGTTAAGGAAACAGCCGTGAGATGGATCTTCCCGTCAGGAAGGTCCATTTTTAAAAATGAATTCAACGCAAAACTCCAAATGGATCACTTTCCAGTAACGTCTTAGGCTACTGAGTCGTATGATCCTTAGGACCTTAACCAGATAGTTGTAATCGACCAGAAAACATCATTCCTGTGTGATTTGTCCTTTATATCGATGTATTGTCATTAATTGATGTTACATAGGCTGATCACCTGTACATTGTGTCAAAGAGATTCACAAGCTTTATCTGCTAGCCTTAACCCTTATAAGCTTAATTAGTAACCATTTTTCAGCATGTATTTGCTTTTTGAGTGTGAAGTTAATGCAAACAAATTAAATGTGCCATTATATTGTAAGGGTTAACACAAGAGCAGTAGCTTAGTGTTTAAAGTATAGCTTTCAGTCAGCGCGTCACCAGTTAATGTTCACTGCACATACTTTAGTTTGGACATCCGGATAGTAACATTAGTAATCATAAAAATAGTTTTTCTGAAAGCCGAACACATAAACTTGTGTTTGGTAAATAATAGACGATAGTTTCCCTACGTGATCAATTTATGGCAAAGTTTATGAAGCGAGAACGCGTTCTGTCTGGAAATATATTCATATGTGTTTGAAAACAACTCCACCTGGAGTCCCTCCGGGGGCTACTGCCGGTCCCAAACCCGGATCAAGGAGGAGGGTTTGGCATGGGGTTAGCGACCCCATCCCGTAGAAAACTAACTCGCAAAAAGAACGCTAACCAGAAAAAATTATTCGAACCTTTTAAACTCTGCCCTGGGAGTCAGAAGGTCTTCATTTAGAAGAACTATGACGCCTCATGATGAAAGCCGAATTCCTTCGGAAGTTACGAGGCCGATGCCTCTTCTGACAACCAGAGCAACCATTTATTTAGGTATATGGAATGTTCGTACAATGTGGCACACTGGAAAAGCCTTCCAAATTGCTGCAGAAATGAGGAGATACAATCTAGAGGTGCTTGGGATCAGTGAAACACATTGGACGAAAGTTGGACAACAACGACTAACTTCAGGAGAGCTTCTGTTATACTCCGGCCATGAGGAAGAAAATGCCCCACATACACAAGGAGTTGCATTGATGCTGTCCAAACAAGCACAAAGTGCACTTACAGGATGGGAATCCCATGGACCAAGGATCATCAAAGCCTCCTTCAAAACAAAAAAGAAAGCATTTCAATGAACATCATCCAATGCTATGCGCCTACCAACGACTACAATGAAGACGCTAAAGATCAATTCTACAATAGGCTGCAGTCAATCGTCGAGAAGTGCCCAACAAAAGATCTGACCATTCTGATGGAAGATTTCAGTGCCAAGGTTGGAACGGGCAACACTGGATATGAAGACATCATGGGACGACGAACGAAAATGGTGAGAGATTTGCAAACCTATGTGCCTTCAATAAACTGGTCATAGGCGGCACTATATTCCCACATAAACGCATTCACAAAACATGGACTTCACCGGACCACACAACGCAAAACTAAATCGGCCATATCTGCATCAACAAAAAGTTCAGGAGGACGATGGAAGATATGGGAACCAAGAGAGGAGCTGGTATAGCATCAGACCATCACTTGCTGGTCGCCAAGATGAAATTGAAACTCAAGAAGCACCGGGCAATGGGGCGGACAATATCACAAAAGTTCAATACGGCCTTTCTTCAGGATACTGACAAGCTCAACAAATTCAAGATAGTCCTCAGCAATAAGTTCCAGGCATTTCATGGTCTACTCAATGGAGAAGGAACTACTATGGAGAGCAAATGGAAAGGGATCAAAGAGGCAATCACTTCAACATGTCATGAGGTCCTAGGTCACAAGAAGCACCATCACAAGGAATGGATCACTGTTGATACACTGGACAAGTTTCAAGAAAGGAGGAACAAGAAAGCAGCAATCGATACCAGACAAACAAGAGCAGAAAAAGCCAAGGCACAAGCTGGATACACAGAAGTAAACAAGCAAGTGAAGAGGAGCATTAGAACCGACAAACGTAAATATATGGAAGATTTAGCAACGACGGCGGAAAAGGCTGCAAGAGAAGGAAACATGAGACAACTGTATGAAACGACAAAGAAACTCTGGAAATCGCCGCAAACCGGAACGACCAGTGAAAAGCAAGGAAGGCGAGGTAATCACCAACATTGAAGAGCAACGAAACAGGTGGGTAGAACACTTCAAGGAACTCTTGAATCGACCAGCCCCACTGAACCCACCCAACATCGAAGCAGCACCCACGGACATTCCAATCGATGTTGGCCCACCAACAATTGAAGAAATAAGCATGGCCATCAGACAAATCAAGAGTGGCAAAGCAGCAGGACCAGACAACATTCCAGCAGAGGCACTAAAAGCAGACGTAGCGTCAACTGCAAGGATACTCCACATTCTCTGCAATAAGATTTGGGATGAAGAACAAGTACCAAAAGACTGGAAAGAAGCACTTCTGATCAAAATACCGAAGAAAGGAGATCTCAGCAACTGTGAAAACTACAGGGGCATCGCTCTTCTCTCAATACCGGGAAAAGTCTTCAACAGGGTATTGTTAAACAGGATGAAGGACTGCGTAGACGCTCAACTTCGTGACCAACAGGCAGGATTCCGTAAGGATAGGTCATGTACAGACCAAATCGCAACTCTACGGATCATTGTGGAACAATCAATTGAATGGAATTCATCACTCTACATCAACTTCATTGACTACGAAAAGGCATTTGATAGCGTGGACAGAACAACACTATGGAAACTTCTTCGACACTACGGCGTGCCTCAGAAGATAGTCAATATCATACAGAACTTATATGATAGATTACACTGCAAAATTGTGCATGGAGGACAGTTGACAAAATCGTTCGAAGTGAAGACCGGTGTTCGGCAAGGTTGCTTACTCTCACCCTTTTTCTTTCTCCTGGTGATCGACTGGATCATGAAGACATCAACGCCTGAAGGGAAGCGCGGGATACAATGGACATCTAAAATGCAGTTGGATGATCTAGACTTCGCAGATGATCTGGCCCTTCTATCCCAAACGCAACAACAAATGCAGGAGAAGACGACCAGTGTAGTAGCAGCCTCAGCAGCAGTAGGTCTCAATATACACAAAGGGAAAAGCAAGATTCTCCGATACAACACAGAATGCACCAATCCAATCATAATTGACGGAGAAGATTTGGAAGATGTAAAAACCTTTACAAATCTGGGCAGCATCATTGATGAACATGGTGGGTCTGATGCAAATGTGAAGGCGCGGATCGGTAAAGCAAGAGCAGCATATTTACAACTGAGGAACATCTGAAACTCAAAACGACTGTCAACTAACACCAAGATCACAATTTTCAATACAAATGTCAAGACAGTTCTACTGTATGGGGCAGAAACCTGGAGAACTACGAAAGCCATCATCCAGAAAATACAGGTGTTTATTAACAATTGTCTACGCAAAATACTTCGGATCCGTTGGCCGGACACTATTAGCAACAACGTACTGTAGGAGAGAACAAACCAGATCCCAGCGGAGGAAGAAATCAGGAAGAAGCGCTGGAAGTGGATAGGACACACATTGAGGAAAGCACCCAACTGCGTCACAAGACAAGCCCTCACATGAAATCCTCAAGGCGAAAGGAGAAGAGGAAGACCAAACAACACATTACGCTGAGAAATGGAGACAGACATAAAAAGAATAAACAAAAATTGGATAGAACAAGAAAGGAAGGCTCAGGAAAGAGTGGGTTGGAGAATGCTGGTCGGCGGCCTATGCTTCATTAGGAGTAACAAGCGTAAGTATGTAAGTAAGTGTTTGAAAAGGGAGAGTGATATTTTTTAGTGTGTCGTTGAATAAATTACTGACTGTATTGCCGCTTTTGTGTCACTATAGAGATTTCTTTCATTATACCAAACCAGTCAGTTGTAATCAACGTAGAACCTTCCATAAATTTGTGTTAGCCTAAGTCCCCGTACCACATCACCACGACCATGATGGATTGACGCTAGAGATGGTTAAGGTTGGTGGTGAACTTTTAGCTACTGATCTGGTTGAGACATTAGTTAGAGTTTAGGGTCGGACTTATTTTCATCTGACTGGTTGCTATCGCTGACCGCTTCAGTTTACAAAAAAGAAATACTTTCAATAACCACAGAGGGATCAGTTTAATTTAATTCTAGACTATAATTATCCAACACTTACATAAGGGTCGTAAAGAACAAACTAAAAAAACTAAGTTGGTGTGCATTAACCAAATATTTACTCTTCGTCAGCTTTCAGAATATAAATATACCGACGCCAAACTATATTTGCTTTTCTTGAAATTAGGGCAGCATTCGACTCAGTTGACCAAGAGGTTTTGTCGCAAATGTTTTCATTGAGAAGCGTACCAAAGAAGTGCATAAACCTGAAAGCTCTTTACTCAGATACTGTTAGTCGAGTTAGAGATTATGGGGAACTATCGCCGCAACTTTCAGCCTCATTTGGCTTTCATCAAGGTTTCCATCAATTTACATTTTATTTTCTTGATCTTTAATCCCGGTATTGCTTCATATCTATCTTTCCACTGTCTTTTTGTATCATTCTCAGTGCTCGCTCTTTCCCTCTGACATTGGTACTACATTTTTAGGAGCTCGTTTGTTGTACATCTTGTTAATTCCGTCTCAGCGTGCTAATGTGGTATGACAACCTAAATCAACTGTTTATCTCAGGCTGTATGTTGATGATGACTGAATGAAATCAAACAAAGAAACTGAGTTGCGAAGGTGTTGAGATAATCGTATTGGCAATGATAATGATCAAAACTTAATATTGAAGGGTATCATTCGGAAATATTTATCGATGATACGTTTACTTTTTTATTTCACCAACTTCATCCTTAATCGTGATTAGCATCATATTGGTGTCATATTCTGGTAGTATTTGACATAATTCCCTTACCTGGAATGGTTAAATGATTCTCTTTTTATTCTCTATCCATTCATATTTATTTTATCAAATTCTAATTTATATTAATTCCAATTTTTATGGAATGTACTAGTCAGTCATAAGCAGAGTAGAACCTGGGGCATACATAGATCAATACAAGTTACCACACCACGTCAGTATAACAAGATGATTACTGAAGTAGAAGTATTATTGTCAGGGGTATTAGAAAAACAGGGATAGATAATATGATTTGAGGACAAAATGAATTCGCGGAATATAAGTGGTTTTGATCAGTCAGTCAGTCAGTCAGCTACAACGTAGGACCAGGCACATATGTGCATCGGTCCAGGTTGCCATACCTCATTAGCACAACAAGATGAACACCGGATTCATAGGAGTGGTTAGGTCAAAGGTTGCAATAAGGATATAGTATAGGAAGGAAGAATTAGTTCGTATGAAGTGATTTTAATCTCTTAGTTTAAGGGAAGACAAAGAGTGTATACACCGACGCCATTGTGATCGATTCTGAGCCATGTCACCAAGAGTCTTCAACCATTGGTTACGATAGTCACGCGGACCCCAACCAAGTAGTCTGCATCTACCAACATGGCTAAGACTAGAAGTTAGTGACTTCAAGCACTGATGCCACGTTTTGGTTTGGCCGCCCCTAACTTTCTTCCAACCATCCCCTACACCGGTTAGCATTGCACGTCGTGGTAATCGGTGTTCAGGCATACGTAATACGTGGCCCAACCATCTCAGTCGATGAAGATTCATAACCTCATCAACTGATTTACCATCATTCCCTAATACCCTGCGTCTAACCTCACTATTACTTACCCGGTGATCCCAGCAGATGCCAGCAATATTTCTAAGGCATCTGTGGTCAAATACTTGTAGCTTACGGGTGTCTTCTACTCTTAAAGGCCATGTTTCGCTGCCGTAAAGTAAGACAGAACGGACTGCCGCGCAGTATACTCGTCCTTTTATTGATAGACGGATATCTCGCCTTCGCCATAGGTGACGTAAGTTGGCAAAAGCCAAACGAGCTTTTCGAATCCGTGCTGAGATTTCGTCAGACACCAACCCATTAGGGCTGATCAGACTTCCAAGATAAGTGAAGTTGTCGACGCGTTCGACTACTTCACTCCCTATCCTTAGTTCAGGTGTTGACGCAGACCAGTCCTGAAGCAACAACTTGCATTTAGAGAGAGAGAGAAGCGCATCCCAAACATTCTGGCATTGTTGCTCAGTGCTACCAGAAGACTCTGCATTTTGTCAGCCTCTTCACCAAACAGGACTATATCATCTGCGTATTCTAAGTCGATAAGTGGACCTCCTGGAAGGAGATCAATACCCGAGAATTCAGTCGACGAGAGTGTTATTTCCATCAATAGGTCTATGATGAAGTTAAACAAAAGTGGGGAAAGTGGACAGCCTTGACGGACACCACTTGAAGTTGCAAAAGTAGATGACAGTTCGCCATAAGCTCTGACTCGACTAGTAGTGTTCGAGTAAAGAGCCTTTACAAGGTTTATGTACTTCTGAGGTACGCCTTTCAATGACAGACACTGCCACAGAGTCTCGCGGTCTACAGAGTCAAACGCTGCTTTTAAGTCAAGAAAGACCACCATCGTCGGACGCCGATAGGTATGCCTGTGTTCTAGAACCTGACGAATGGTGAATATGTGGTCGATGCAGCCACGACCAGGTCTGAAGCCAGCTTGGTTCTCTCGAGTTTGTAGTTCACGAGTCTTAGTTAGGCGTCTGATAATTATCGAGGCTAGTATTTTAGATATTATATTAGTTAAACTAATCCCTCTATGGCTGTCACAGGATGATTTTGACCCTTTCTTATATATTGGGACGATGAGTGATTGCGACCAGTCAGATGGGATAAAGTCTAATTCCCAGATCTTAGCTAAAATGTTAGTCAACCTAATCGCTAAAACTGGACCACCATCCTTAAAGACCTCTGGAGCCAATCCATCTGGACCAGCTGCCCTTCCTCGTTTCAGATTAACTATAGCCTTTTGAACTTCAGCAAGAGTTGGGGGACCTACTTCAATGTTCCATTCACATTGTCTGGGAATGGAGGGTAGTTGTAGAGTAGCTGAAGGCCAGCTGAACTGTTCTCTAAAATGTTCCGCCCATCGTTCTAAACGTCTGGACTGGGAGCAGATGACAGTATCATCTTTTTCCGAAATAATCTCACTTACACTTGACTTATTAATTCCAGTTTCTTTTATTAGTCTGTAAAGCTGTCTTGTGTTCCCTATAGTCGCCGCCTTTTCCATCTCTTTTGCTTTCGTTACCCACCACTGCTCACGGTCGTTCCTTAGACTTTTTCTTAACCTAGATCTGATTTGTATTCGCTCTTCATCATGTTCAGAACCTGATGGGATGAGTTTGCGAGAATCCATCAGTGTGACAGACCTTGAAGAAATCCACTGGTTCCTTGCAACTCTGTGGTTTAAGTCACTAATAGATGTCACTGCTGTTTCCACAGCTGATTGTATGCCCTTCCAAGCAACATCTGGGTCAGCCTCGTCTTCACAACTACCTAATCGTGACCTCAGTTGTTCCTGGAACCTACTTTTGGTTTCCTC